AAAAAAAAAAAAAAAAAAAAGTTTCTCAGAAAAATCTGAAAAAAATATATGTTATGTAACATAACAATACAAGCAACTTTTGTCTTGGAGTCATGTTCAAATTCGCAGTCAATCATGAGTTAAAAATCGAAAACCGAAAAAAATATATATATATTTTTTTTACGAAAAAAAAGATTTTTTTTCCAGGACGACGATGGTACTGGATGTATGGGGGAGACGTTCGGGGGAGACGACCGGCCCCCGGACCATTGGTAACCTAGCTTTTTTTGGACATTGGTTTAGAGGTAGACTTAGACGTAGTTATCGGGAGAGTCTTGAGTGAGAATGTGCTATGGAGAGTCGTTCCCTATACACTGATAGTGTAGTCTTGGGAATTGACATGTCGTGTGTTACAGGTCCTCTTGATCGTTTCGATTAAGGATTGGACTAGTTTCAACTTGATCCCATGAGGATCATCTTCTGTTATCACTGATAACAGGTCGGTTGCCGATTCGTCGGTTTACGATTCAACTCCAATTCACTCTTGCCACTCAACCTAAAGGTTGTAGCCCTGTGGTTTGAATTGTTTCGTTGGGTTTTCACCCATACTTTACTGAATGGTCATTTAACAAAGATACTGAGTACTCTATTGCTGGAAGGTTGGGCAAAGGTTGAGGCTTGTATGGCTAAAGCAAGGGGTGTGAGTGCAAAGAATGGTTGAAGTTGACCCCGTGGTAGTGCATGGACTTTTTGGTGAAATCTTTGATGTGATTGCAGGTATGTTTTGTGGTTCGGACTCTGGATTTGGCTGCCTGCGATCACATATTTATATATGGATGAGAGGAGTCCTACTATGATTGTGAGAAGTGATTGTCCTATATTATATACCCCTTTTATATATGTACATACATATGCCTTGAGTGTTCGTGCGGCGTAACTGCGACTGTGCGCAAGGGTTAAACAAATTTTGTCTCAGGAGAAAAAAGAGATTCCCTTTTACCTTTATTTTTTGGAGTTTTTATAGTTGGACGTTGTTGTCTGTGGCAACCGTCAAAGTCAAATCCCCTTGATTTCTCTCCAAACCCTGAATGATGGAGCTTGCCTCCATGGCCTCGAGAGACGACTACCACCACAGGTATGAACCTGTGTACCACCCACTCTCCGCTGGGTGCAGAAGAGGGTGTGGTTCTCAACCGCCTAGGCGGTTGTCTAGTGTCGAGAGACTAACCCCTCAAGGCGCGTGCCAACTGATACTTGAGTGTCGAACGCGACCCTCGAGACCATCGAGGACCGCGTGATTATGGGTACTACATAGTACGCCATCATTGCGACTGCTTGTGAATGCTTGCATGATTAGTCGATATGAGAAAGCCCTGCGTCCGCGCATGTTATATTAAGCCGACACTTAGGGGTCAAACGCGACCCTCGAGACCATCGAGGACCGCGTGATTATGGATACTACATAGTACGCCATCATTGTGACTGTTTGCGAATGCTTGCATGGCTAGTCAATCTGAGAAAGCCCTACGCCCGCGCATGTTATATTAAGTCTCGCACGCGATGCCCAATTGAATTTTGTGTCAAAAGGTTATGGGTCTGATACTTTCTCAACCGCTTAGGCGGTTGTCTAGTGTCGAGAGATTAACGCCTCAAGGCGCGTGTCAGCCGACACTTGAGTGTCGAACGCGACCCTCGAGACCATCGAGGACCGCGTGATTATGGGTACTACATAGTACGCCATCATTGCGGCTGCTTGCGAATGCTTGCATGGCTAGTCGATATGAGAAAGCCCTGCATCCGCGCATGTTATATTAAGCCGACACTTAGGGGTCAAACACGGCCCTCGAGACCATCGAGGACAGCGTGATTATGGGTACTACATAGTTCGCCATCATTGTGATTGCTTGCGAATGCTTGCATGGCTAGTCAATCCGAGAAAGCCCTGCGTCCGCGCATGTTATATTAAGTCTCGCGCGCGACCCCTAATTGAATTTTGTGTCAAAAGGTTATGGGTCTGGTGCTGAAGGGACTAAGATTGTGTGTTCCGTTTAGTGCGTAGGTTAATTTTATGTTTTCGCGGGGTGTGTCACGTGGTGAGTAGGATGCGTCCTAGTCGACCGACGACGAGCCGCACTTGGGACTTCAGCCCCCCATTGCGTTGATTCGTGTGCGGGTCCGATAGAGGCGTAGGACCACACGTATCCCCTATGCTACAACGTACGAGAAACGCCCTCGGCTGGCCCACCTCTGCGATTGCAACTAATTAGCTTTCGTATTGTGGACTGGTAGCTCGGTGGGGATACGCCCTCCGAAGGGAGGTGACAGCTGCCGCAGGTGGAGGTAAGTTGTACCTCTCGTAGACCCTATCCTGTTGTAGGGGCTCGCGAGAGGTATGGCTGGCGCACTCGGCTGGAGTGGCTATGGAAGCTCCACTTGTATCACGAATGACCAAATCCTGTGTGACGCGGTCGGGAGGGTCCCGCCCTGCGGGACGAATGCGCTCGACAGCACCACGGCAGCGGTCCCAATATCCGCACTCTCTCTTTCTTCACCAGCGCCACGTCAGCGTGTTGCCAACGATGCTCTCGCCGGTTTTCCAATTTTCTTCAGTGTGTCCATGTCATCACCTTCAAGGGAGGCTGCATGCACGTGCGGTACTCAATGTCTGGACGTACGATATTAACTGTGTGCGTTTATAAACGCGTTTCGTTCCTGCATGTGCGGCACCTCCTACTTACCTGGGTGCCACGTCGGCACCGGACAACAGATCGTGATGGAGGTATGCTCGGATACCAAATTGTAATGAACCCAGACTGGAAGATACTCGTCAGACGTCGAAGTTAAAGTTGACTCAGATCTACACAATGTCTCCAGTAATCGTGAAAGTGATATCTGATACAATGTTTCATTACCAATAGAAAGAGAGTGGAGGGGAAATAGACAGATGAGAGGGAGGAAGAGATAAACAGTGACCACCAAAAGAGTAGCCCAAACATTACCCACTCCTTCTCCGGGCTTCCCCTCGCCTCCACGTCATCAGTCAATATCCAGTAACAAGTCTGACAAGTCCAGATCACATAGAAGTGCCACGCGGCACTGTCATCTCGTGGAGACAATGAAGACAACAACAGTGCACGGTATCGACGTCAATCTCAGGTGAATACCAAATCCCCAATGATCCACAGACTCCGATGTCCCTCCTTGTTGCGACCAATCACCTCATGTAGACAGCGTGGACAGTGCCACGTCAGCAATAGAGACAGGTGGCATGCGCCACATCAGCAATGAAGACAGATGGCCTGCACCACATCAGCAATGTAGACAGGTTGCATGCGGAAAATCAGCAATGAAG